TTTTTCTGTTTTTTTCTCTCTCTTACTCTTTCTCTCTGTTTTAGCGTAGGACAAGTTCAAGGCTCGGGTCATTATAATCGCCAATCGAACTGCCTCCCTCTCTCTCTCCCTCCCTCTCTTGGAAACAAAACGCCTTGTTTACCAATGCAAGCAACATACACTTGCATCTCATTCTCTCAATAATCAACAACTAATATTCTCTTTTATCTACTATATACACGGTCAACGTTTTCCAGCCTTCAAAGAGTTCAAAGACTTTGCTTTCGGATTATCAACTTCCGTTTTTTTTTCTTTTTTTCGTTTTTCTAAGAAATTAAGAATTAAACTCTTTACCAAAAAAAATACTCCAGAATAATTCAACTTCTTTTTCTGTTCCTGTTACAAAGAATAATACCGTTTCTTTTTATTTTTTCCATCCGACCCAAAAAATAGAGAATTTTTTTGAAAATTAGGGGTAAAAACCGCCAAAAACAACTATTTTGGGTGTTTATACCTACTTTTCTCAAAAACCTGAAGTGGTAATCAATTTCGACAACTTAAATCGTGTTCAGAAGGGAAAAATACATTGAAAACGAGTCCCATATCGAAAATAGGCAAAAAAAATAATTTTTTCCGATTTTTACCCCCACTTTTTTCAAAATTCGAGAATTCTGGAGAATTTTAGAATCTAGGATCGTGTTCAGCTGGTAAAAATACACTGGAAACGAGTCCAATATCAAAAATAAAAAAACCGTAAAGGCCTGTGCTTGAGATATGCAAAAGACCAAAAAAATAAAAAAAAATTTTGAAAAAAGTGGGGGTAACGACTCAAAAAAATTTTTTTTTCCTAATTTTTGATATGGGAGTCGTTTTCAATGTATTTTTCTCTTCCGAACACGATCCCGGATGTGAAAATTGCCTAACAAGCTAATATTTTGAGAAAAGTGTAAATAAAGACAAAAAATCCTGTTTTAATGGTTTTTACTTTCACTTTTTTGAAAAAACTGACAATTTTTCAAACCGAAATGCATATTAATTCGCTAAAAATCAGGAAATTCCTTTTTTTTCGCACCGACCAAAAATTTAATTCAAATAAAGAAAAAACCAATGGAAAAGCTAAAGAATCGTTTTGAATCGAGGGTTTCCTCTTATTTTTTTCGACAAAGAAGAGAGGAGAGAGAGAAAGAAAGAAAGAGATGCAGACGTGCATCCTTCGAAGAAACCGGATTCTCACTAGTCGCGGAATCTCTCAAAGCATTGGAGAGTAAAAGGGCCTTCGAATCGTTTTGCGAATAGAAATAATCTTGTTTCAGAAATAATATTTCGATTGGAAAATATTACACTGAAAAAAGAGGGTTTTTATAATAGTAAATTTGTTTCAAATTTAGAATATATTTCTCTTTTTTCATAAAAGAGTGATTTATAATATTTTTTAAAAATTAAAAACAAATTTTTTAATATTAATAATTTTTTATATTTTTTTGGCGAGGGTTTAATTTTTTCTATAACAAAATTTTATTTACAGTTATGTTCAATTCTTGTTTGAGAATTTATATTTTTTTACAGGAATTTAATTTTTTTGTTTTACTTAAGAGATTTCTATATTTTTTTAGAAAAGGGTTAATTTTTTTTAGGGGATTTACAATATTTTTGGAAATTTACATTATATTTTAATATTTATATTTTACGTAAATTTCCAATATATTTTGGTGTTTAATAATTTCTGTTTTGCGAATGTATATTTTATTTTAAGTGTTTTAATTTTTTTTTAATTTCCGATTTTTTTAGGGTGGGGTTAAAATTTAAAAAAAAATTAATACTTTTTTGGAAATTTCCACTAGTTTTGGCATTTTATATTTTTGGAGGTGAAATTTATAATATTTTCTTTATTTTTTTAATTTTTTTGTGAATTTTTTTTTTTTTTTAGAAGGGGTTTAATTTTTTTTTTAAATTTACAACATTTTTAAGAGTGGGGTTAATAATTTTTGAGATTTGTATTTTTTTTGAAAAGCGGTTTAATACTTTCGAGAATTTATTTTCAAAGAATTTTCTTTTGAGGAGGGTTAATATTTTTCACGATCCATTACATTTTTGGAAAGGGGTTTAATTTTTTCAAGTAGGGGTTTAATATTTTCGAGTAGGGGTTTAATATTTTCGAGAAGTGGTTTAATATTTTTGAGAATTTACCTTTTTTCAGGATAGGAATTAGAATTTTACCTTTTTTTTTGACTATTTACAATTTTTTCTAACTTCTTAGAAAGCAGTTGAGTACGAAATTCGTCTCAAAAGTGGGCGGAGCCTAACGCGAATCCCATGCGCAGTACAACACAACTTGCGCAAACAGTGTGCGCACAAGAACTCGACTACTAGACTCCAGCAAAGAATTCAATTTTCCATTTCAATTCGAATTCAATCGCTAGTGTCGGTAATTGAGTTGGAAATTTCATTTACAGTGAGTGATAAACCCTTCTCTCTCTCTCTGCACACGGTATTGAATGTCGTTGCAGTAATAAAGCCCAACCGTAGGGGGTTATCTCTCTGTTTCTGTAATTTCGTCCGGGATTTCTCGCTCTCTCTCTCTCTCTCTCTCTCTCTCTCTCTCACTCTCTCACTTTCCATACGTACCAAGCAGACATCGAGGCCAAGTTCAGAACTATATATAGACAAACTCTATATAAACGTGGGCTGTCGTCGTGTGTTTCATTTCCCACCATTTACTCTTTATCGTATGACGTAGCCGCAAAGTTAGCTAAACACATTCTCGTACTGATATTATTTTCAACTAAAACACTAAATTTCAACTATAAATTTTAATTTTACCAAAAAAATTATATATTGTTTAGGAAAAAGTATTTTTGATCTGACCAAAAAAATAAAGAATTTTCTAGAAAAGTGTGAGTAAAAACTTCCAAAAACAAATATTTTTGGTGTTTATACCCACTTTTCTCAAAAACCTGAAGTGGTAGTAAATTTTAACACTTGGAATCGTGTTCAGAAAGGAAAAATACATTGAAAACGACTCCCATATCGAAAATAGTGAAAAAAAAAAATTTTTTTTCGGGTGTTTTACCCCCACTTTTTTCAAAATTTGTCAATGCTGGACAATTTTAGAATTTGGGATCGTGTTCAGCTGGTAAAAATACACGGGAAACAACTCTAATATAAAAAATAAAAAAACTAAAGGCCTGTCTAGACATAATTCCTTGAGATATGCACAAGACCAAAAAATAAAATAGATTTTGAAAAAAATTTTGGATAACGACTCAAAAAAAAATTTTTTTCCCTTATTTTTGATATGGGAGTCGTTTTCAATGTATTTTTCTCTTCTGAACACGTTCCCAGATGCAAAAATTGCCTAATACCTCACAATTTTGAGAAAAGTGTGAATAAAGACAAAAAATAGGGTTTTAAGGGGAGAGACCGGTGAATTTTCAACCCTCCGATATTTTATTTTTAGGGATATCAACATTTTTTTACACTTTTTCAATTACTGAAATCATATTACACTGTAAGAAAATTATAAAAGTGATTTTAAACTAATTTACTTTTTTTATTTTTCGAAAAATTCGATTTTTTGAAAAAATTAAAATTTTTGAAAATTCATACGATTTGATTGGTCAGAATCATGAAATAAGTGTATTAAAAAAATTGACAATGAAAAATAAGAAAAATTACAAGAGTAGTTCAAATTTTAATTTTTTTTGATAATATTGATATTTATTTAAAAAAATTGTTAATTATAAAATTTTTTTTAATTTTTCGAAGCATTTTATATATCAAAATTTGTCAGAAAAAACATTGACCATCCATAAACAACAAACATATTTGAATGAGTTGAATTTTCACCGGTCCCTCCCCTTAATGGCTTTTACCCCCCCACTCTTCTTGAAAGAACTGCCAATTTTATGAAGCGGAATTCACATTCAATTCCCTAAAAATCAGAAAATAATTTTTTTTTCTTCGATTATTAGACTCAAAGACCAAAAAATTAGACGATTTTGAAAAAATTATTGGGGAAAAAATCTCTAAAACTCGTTTTTTCAGGTCCTTACCCCAACTTTTCTCAAAAACCTGACGTGTTAGTCAATTTTTACACTTGCCATTGTGTTCAGCGGACAAAAATACATTGAAATCGACTCCCATATCGAAAATAGTCGAAAAAACAATTTTTTCGTGTTTTTTACCCCCACTTTTTTCAAAATTCTTCATTTTTTTGTCTTTGGCATAAGTCAGTGAGTAAAAATACATTAAAAACCAGTTGGCTATGAAATAAAGCTAACGGTCTAAGTCTATATGATCAGAAACACTGAAAACATGCACCAAACCAAAAATTCGGAGAATTTTAAAAAAAGTGGGGGTAAGAAACTCGAAAATTTTTTTTTTTTGCCTATTTTTAATATGGGAGTCATTTTCAATGTATTTTTACCCGCTGAATACGATCCCGAGTCTAAAAATTGAGTATCTCGTTAGGCTTTTGAGAAAAATGGGGATAAAGTCGAAAAAATTGGGTTTTTTGCTATTTTTTCTAAATTTTCTATCTTTTTGAGATCATTCAATTTGCTATTGTACTGCGCATGGTGTTTACGTTAGACCCCGCCCACTTTTAAGACGAATTTCGTACTCAACTGTCCTGAAGCTTTCGAATTCGGTCAAATCGGCTAATAATCGAAGACTTAGGGCTAATTAGGCCGTTAAGTCCTAATTAGGCCTAGGTCTTCTATTATTAGACGATTTGAGGTCTATTTAGACCTACAAGGTCTGAGTAGGCCTAGATCTTCGATTTTTAGACGATTTGAGACCTGTATGGACTAATGAGGCCTGAATCTTCGATTTTAGACGATTTGAGACCTGTAAGGCCTAGTGAGGCCTAGATTTTCGATTTTTAGACGATTTGAGGCCTGTAAGGTCTAATGAGGCCTAGATCTTCGATTTTTAGACGATTTGAGGCCTAATTAAGCCCTGAATGGATAAGAAGCCTTAATGAATAGAAATAACAAATAAATTTCCCAGTAAAAACTCACCTTTTTCTCCGTCAGCTTTTCGCACCTCCTCATCTTGCAAATCTGATGACTCTTATCATTCCGACATGGCGCACAATCTCCACAATTGTCCTTACGTTGACAACCAATACACTCGCCGCATCGCTTTCTCTTCTTTTTCGCTGGCTTATCACCCAAACCACCATCGCCATCATTATCACCAAGTCCACCACCCATATGATGTTGTCCACGATTCGCCGTACTCGATACGGCCGCAACTTGTCCCGAACTCTCCGCATTACCACCACCACCACCACCATCCTCACTCTCCATTGAGCCAGCGCGAATTTTTCTCCTCTCCTTCTTCCTCCCATCAATTCCAATAACCCTCGACGTTGGCGAATTATCCAAAACCGTGGACATTGGATTTTGAAAATTGGTATGATGCAATTGGGGATAGTCGGGCTTCACCACAGTGAGAACCGTGTGATGTGGATGACCGGGTGGTGGGGGAAAGGCCTGAACTGGATTCGAGCCCAACAATTGTATGTGCCGTTCGTCGAGTAATTGTTGTTGTAGGGCTGGGACCTCGCGGGCCTGAATTGGAGCGGGAACGAGTGGATAACCAACGGCGGCGCGATGTGGATGTGGAACGGGAATTGGAGTCCCAAGAGTGTGAAAACTGGGGAGGCCAACGGCAGTGGTGACGGGTGGCGAGTGGGATATGGAGGCCGGCGATAATGGCGTCAAGGCCGTCAATTGTGGTTCTGATTCACTGGGCGCTGTGAATTGACTGGCAAAACTTGGAAGGCCCTCGGGACCACCGCCACCGACGCCGTGTTTCGATTCCCATGGTCGATACTGCCCAACTGGCACCAATCCACTGACAACTTCACCACGTGCGTCAATTAAACGGCCGGTGAGGCCCTCATAGTAGTCCCATGAGGCTGTGAGACCCAGGCCCACGTCCTGGGAGTGCAATGTTGTCAATGTTGTTGAACTATCCATTGAACTGTCGCCGGTGAAACTGCTGAATGGCGGTAGATGACGATTTGGGTCGCCTGGACCCGGCGAGGAAGCGACCGCCGCCGGAGGGCTTCCTACCCTCTCGGAGGCGATGACCTCCTGCTTCACCTCCGCGCTCATCTTCTCCACATCATTTCGGAAAAATCCGTTTTCTTTGTTCCAAGTCGATTCTATGTCGACCAATCTCTTAGTTGTTTCTTGACGAATTAACTTGGGTCCACTCACTGGCTTTTGATCTCATTCAAAAACTGTTTGTCCACTTTTGTCCTCTGTTGTCCTTTTCGTCCTTATTTGTCCTTTTAGCCCTTTTCTGTCCCTTTTAGCTCCTTTTCTGTCCTTTTTAGACCCTTTTTGCCCTTTTCTGTCCTTATACGTCCTTTTTAGCCCCTTTTTCGTCCTTTTTTGTCCTATTCTGTCCTTTTTGGACCTTTTAGCCCCTTTTTCGTCCTATTCTGTCCTTTTTGGCCTTTTTAGCCCCTTTTTCGTCCTTTTTCGTCCTTTTTTGTCCTATTCTGTCCTTTTTGGCCCTTTTAGTCCCTTTTTGCCCTTTTTAGTCCCTTTTTGACAGTTTTTCGTCCTTTTTCGTCCCTTTTCGCCCTTTTAGTCCCTTTTTGACCGTTTTTCGTCCTTTTTCCCTTTTTTCCCTTTTTGTACACTCGTACTCCCTCGTTCTCTAGTGTCCTCTCGTGTTTTCCTTCGTTCCTCACTCAAAAGGCAAAAATTCTCCCAGAGATCTTCGTTTTTTTTTTGTACTCAACAGGTTTAGGCTACAATCGTGAAGTAGATTGGTTTAAAAATTCTCCCTTAGTTTTTTTTTTACAAAAAGGCATGAAAAATAAATCACTGGCACGCTGGAGAGGTTTTTTGTTTTTTTTTTTGTTGTTGTTATTTTTGTTAATAGACAATTAGTAGAAAATGGTAAATTCTTTGGTTTTTGTCTCTTAATCGATCACTAGTTTTATTTTATTTATTTTTTTTTTTGGATTTGGCACTGGCGGATTTGTAGTTTTTTTTTCTCTGGATATAACTTTGTACACTAAATAGATTTTTTTTTATCTCTTTGTCATTGAATTTTTATTTTTTTTTTTAAGCTCTTGGGGAATATAAAACACACTAGTTTATTTTTGTTTCACAAATATTTTCTTTCTTCCTCTTATTCTTTTTTTTTTGTATGAAAAATAGAAATCACTTGAGGTTAATGTGGCTTATTTTGAAGGCGGTTGATTTGTACGATCTGAAATCAGAGAAATAAGGGAAAAGGTTAGAAATTTCATGGAGAAAATATAAAAATATTATTAATATAAATATTAACATTTCAATGATTTATTGAGATTTTAAGGGAAATTTTTTTAAAAATTTAATTAATTATTAATTTTTTAAAGATCGAAATTTTTGAAAAATAAAAAAAAATTGATACATGATTTATTGATATTTAAGGGAAATTTAAAAAAAAAATTTTATTAGTTAAATAATAATAAATAATAATAACTTAAATAATTCAACTACTTCAACATTTTTTTATTACTTTTCGTTGACGAATTTTTTTTAGACTTTTTTTACGATTCTGAACAATCAACCTTGTGGATTTTAAAAATTTTAATTTTTTCAAAAAATAATATTTCGAAAATGGTTAAAAAAAAATTTTTTTGAGTTAATAAAATTATTTTTAGATGTTTTAAGAATTTATGAATTTTTAAAAGTTTTATAGTTTTTTGGGAAGGGTTTAATTATTTTATAAGGATTTACTTTTTTTTGTTTATTTTATTGAGGGTTACGTTTAATATTTTTTGGATTTTATAAAACTTTTATTCTTGTGAATTTTTATTACGTTTGAAAAGAACTTTTAAGAATTTTTTCAGAGGTTTTAATATGTTTTGAAAGAGGATTAATATTTTTTTTAATAAATATTTATATTTTTGTCTGTTAAATTTTTTTTTGATAAATTTTCTGTTTTCTATAAATAAAGAAAAGGAACTTTTTTTTTTTTTTTGAAAGGAACTTTTTAGAATTTTTTTAGAGGTTTTAATATGTTTTGAATAAGGGTTAATATTTTTATTTAATAAATATTTATATTTTTGTCTGTTAAATTTTCTTTTTTGATAACTTTTCTTTTTTCTATATTTACAACATTTTTTGAAAATTTACATTTTTTTTTAGTAGGAGGTTTAATTTTTTTTAAGGATTAATTATTATATGTCTTGTGATTAGGGTTAATATTTTTGGAGATTTATAATATTTTTTAAGCATTTTCATTATTTTTATAGTTTTCTAATTTTCTTGTTTGAGAATTTATATTTTTTTTAAAGGAAGATTAATTTTTTTTATTTATTTTTTATTTAAAAAATTTTAATATTTTTTGAAAGAAAGGTTAATTTTCTGTGGGGGGGATTTAAAATATTTTTTAAGAAATCTTTATTATTTTTGGGGATTTGTACCTAATATTTTTTGAAAATTTTTATTTTTTTCAAGGTTTTTATAATTTGTTTTAGATAATTAATCATTTTTTCAGTGCAAAGTTTTATTTTTTCAGGGTTTTGTAATATTTTTTTAAAAACAGGGTTAAAACTTTTTGGAGATTAAAATATTTTTTAAATGGAATTATAATAACTTTCGGCGATTTCTAATTATTTTTGGCAAGTGTAATATTTTTTAGAATTTACCAGATATATTTTCCAAATTCTTAAATATTTTTTTGGTGGGAGGAGGTTTAAGGGTTAATATTTTTAGAATTTTATATTTTTCTCATAGAAATTTCAATTCTTTTGAGAATTTTCGTTTTTGAGAGCAAAAGGGTTAATATTTTTGCAATTTTATATATTTTTTTAATTTTACTCAATTTTGGGGTTTTATATCAGTTTTTTTCATTATTTACAAACTCTCTTTTGAGGGGGTTTAATCTATAATATGTTTGAAAAAAATGTTTAAATATTTTTAGAAGGGGGTTTAATTTTTTTTAAACTTTTTTTACGATTTATTGAGATTTATTTTAAGAAATTTTTTTTTTGAGAAGGGGGTTTTATTTTTTTTAATACTTTTTTTATGATTTATTGAGATTTACTTTAAGAAAATTTTTTTTTTTGAGCTATTTTGATATTTTTTCTTGAAAATTGGGCAAAAATTTCTTTCACTCTAGAAGAATCGTATTGTTTTTGAAAAATTGAAAAACGATTTACGGGAAGGTGGAGAGACTGCGAGGAAAATTCGAGGTGAGAACAAAAAATGGCGGTCGCGTGAAAAACAAAATTCCCGATTTCTCAAAGGTGGACAATTTTTTTAATTCGGAACTTTTTATCTCGGAAACTCTCCCCCCGGAAGTATCGTTTTCTCTTCGAAAAATTAAAAATTGCCCTCGTGGTAAAAAATGGCAAATGTTTGAAAATTCGAAGTGAGGGTAATAACACTAAAAACACAGTTTTCCCGTGTCAATAAAAAAATGTTAAAATAAAAAAAAAATTGCGTATTCAATTTGTCAAAGAGGGAACAAGAGGAAAAAAAAGAGAAGGAAACGTAAAAGCGAGTCCGTGAAACGTGTGTCATAGGTCTTAGTCGACCGTGGACATTGCGCGTCAAGGCTACTATTACGTTCGCCGTTCCGCACACCTACTCGTTTCTCTTTGATATCCGCAAATGTAACTTTGTAGGTACTTCATTCACATCTACGTCCATTGATAGCGATAGCTTCTCACTCGACACGAGTCCGAACAATTTTCTCCCCTCCTTCAAAAATAGAAAAATCATTCCTCCTCTTCCTTCTAATAAAAGTTCAACTTTTTTGTAATGTTCCCCCCTCCTAACTTGATTTTTTTTCATACAAAGGAACATTTTCAATATTTTTACCTCCCCCCCTCAAATGCATAGCATTTTTAATTAATAAAAATTTCAATATCCCCCTCTCCATTGGTATTTTTTAACTAATGAAACAATTTTAATATTTAAACCCCCCCCCCCCTTCTTAGGGGTCGTCCAGATACCACGTGGAAAATTTTTGGAGGGAGGGGGGGTTGAAAAAAATTTGAAAATGTCCACGATCCCATGTATTTTTGTGTCCACAAGGAGGGAGGGGGGGTCAAAAATCTTTGACAAACTGTCCACGTGGTTTATGGACGACCCCTTTTAATATTTTTTAAGTAATGAAACAATTTTAATATTTTTCCCCCCTTCTTCTCTTGGTATTTTTTATGTTTAATGAAACAATTTTAATTTTTTTTACCTCCTTACACTCCTGTGATGTTTTAAGGTAATAAAACAATTTAAATATTTTTACCCCCCCCCTTAAATTCTAGTATCTTTTTATTAATGAAACAATTTTAATATTTTTAACCCCCCCCTCCCCCGCGTAGTTTATTAAAGTAATAAAATAATTTTCATTATATTAGGCCCCCTCCCCCCTTGGTTTTTATTCAGTAAATGAACAATTGCCCCCCTTGATTTTTTACAGTAATGGAACAATATTAATAAAACTTTTCACATCCAAATTTTAATTTTATTTCAATAAAGAAACAATTTTAGGAAAATATTATTAAAATTGTTTCTTTAGCTTGAAAAAAAGGGAGCAGGGTAAAGTATTAAAATTGTTCCTTTACTGTAAAAAAACCAAAAAAAATTGGGGGGGGTAGAATATTTTTGAAATTTTTCCGTTATTTTAAAAAAAAACCAAAGGCGGAAGGAAAAAATTTTATTAACAAAACAGATTTTTAATGAGAAAATTCAATTGAGAGGAAAAAGGGGTCTTGGGTTAAAAAATACTGTATTTACTCTTACTCATGGTTATTTTATACTAAAGGGACAATGTTAAAAATATTCCCCTTCCCTCTACAATGATTTTTTTTTTTTTTTTTTTTTTGTAACGCAACAATTTTGATAAAATATGAAAATTATTTTCTTACTGTAAAAAAAGGGGGGAGAGGAAAATGTTAAAATTTTCTTTCTACTGTTAAAAAAAACAACCTAGGGGGGGAGGGAGAGAGGCATTATTAAAATTGTTTCCTTCTTTTTAAAAAAATCGAAGGGGAAAGTAAAAAAAAAAAATTTTATTTACTAAACAGTTCTTTAATGGAAAAATTTAAATTACTTGGTGGTGGGGGGCGGTAAAATAATATCTTTAGTCCCTCATGATTATTTTACATTACGGGAAAAATTTTTAAAATATACGAAATAGTTTTTTAATGAAAAAAATATAGTTGGAGACAGGTGAGTGGAAGGGGGGGGGGGAGTGTGAAAGTACTATCTTTACCCCCCACAGTTATTTTACAGTAAAAGAAAAATTTAACAATTTTTTTAATATTAAAATTTACCTATTAGAGTAAAAAAATCAAATAAAAAGGGGGAGATAGAAATATAATTTTGAGAATTTTAAAATATTTTTTATATTAATATTTACTTTTTCCTGTAAAAAAAA